TATATATATATGTTTAGACGTAGTAAATCTAAAGCACCAGCTGATGCTTACAACGACAGTATTGAAAAAAAATTAATGAAGCAATTATTCGCATTCCATTCAAAGCACGCACACAGACCACATTACGTGACAATTGTTAAAAACTCATAGTCGACGACGTTCCAATTTCGGTTTTTCCAAAATTGAAATTAGACTACAGTGTCTGACCGTATTGTCAACAAATTACAGTTGCTTTGTGAATCTTTTCCTATATTTTGGCATTGTTTTTTCTTTTTCTTTCAATACCTACCCCCCCCCCCCAACCGCAACGTTTTAAGATATAAATCATAAAACAGGAAACTGGCTAGACACTGCAAGTTTGGTTGTTTTTTTTGGCCGACGGGCATAGACAACCCTGATTGGTCAAGTTGTACTTAAAAATCTTTTTAACGTAGAGTTTTTACATCTGCCTCCTGAACGATGGACCTACTTATTCTTTATATTGGCAGATTGTTATCGAATATGGAATCTAAGAATTAAATTACTGCTTTCACATACGCATTCATAATGAGATACATTTATTTGCTGTATAAGAAGGTAATGTTTCTGAAACTGTGAAAGAAAATGATTTCCTAGTAAAATCTGTCTTAAAAAGGCTCGAATTTCCAGATGCCATTTTCAGACATAAAGAATTGATGCTCGTTATCTTTGTCATAGACTGCATTAGCACACTGGTAAAAGAATAAAACAACCATTTTCTCTCAAGGCAGAAGGACAGCATCAAATTGAATCACTAATTAGGCTGCACTTTAAGTGATTTTCATACGAATCTCTAAAAACTGCAAAAAGGTGTCAACTTCTTTGACAAGACTTCCGATCATGTTTGTTTTCAAGATCCATAGCAACAGCGAAACTGTCAAGCCGGGGGTGGGGTGTGAGGTGTGTGTGTGTGTGTGTGTGTGTGTGTGTGTGTGTGTGTGTGTGTGTGTGTGTGAGAGAGAGAGAGAGAGAGAGAGAGAGAGAGGGGGGGGGGGGGGGGGGGGGAGGTGCGGCCAATCAGAAAGTGACCACTTTAGATAAGCAATCTAGCCAGACGGTTTGCTGCTATTCAGCAGATCACGCAGGATCGGACAGACATTGTGTTAGCGTGCAGTGGGTACATTGTATTAGAAAGATAACGCGAACATCAAAAGCCAACCACTCTGGTTTGATAGACAAAGAGCGTGCTAGGACACACAAGCAAGGGTGTGCAAACTTTTGGGATCGGAGGCCACTTCGTGAAGACCTAACATACAAAAGGTCGCACAATTTTAGAACTGGTCACAGTGCGGTGGATGACCTTATTTTTCTTTTCTTTTAATTTTTTTTTTCTGGAAAAGTTAATAAGACATGTGAGGCATCGTAGTGTAATCAGGCACTCGTCAAAATAACGAAATCGAAAAAAATCGGCAATTTCCCTCCGATTTAGCAATTTTTCTCGAATTTCTGTTATTTTGGCTCAATACCTTTTTTGTACATTTAAAAACAAAATTTCAATTTTCAAGGACTCTAAAATTTTTATCGTTTTATCGCTAATAACTTTATCTCTGAAACCAGGCGACCCCTCCTCCTTTAATAACAAATATCTGGACTTCTATTGACAGATGGGTATTTTTTTTCATAGACAGACAGACAAATAAACAAGCTTTAAGATGATGTCAATAAATCCACATGCCTAAAAACTGACGAGCGCCTGGTTCCACTACGTCTTGACAAATATGTAACCTGCAACACTATAATAATATGATTGAATTAATTATTTAAAACCCCCCCAACAAAAACAACTATAAACAACAACAACAACAACAACAACAACAACAACAACAACAACAACAACAATTTTCCTTTCATTTTTACAACGAACCTAGTCTTGACTCTATAATATTACGTTGACACATGCTATTACTCTTATAGAAATTCATTAATTTGATTTTTAAAAATAAATCGCCGAATGCTTCCCTGGGTCGAGCAAAACACAAGGAAGGGCTACATCTGGCCTGCAGGCTGTAGTTTGCCAATCCCTGTCCTGTACCTGGTGTGAGAGTCTGAGAGGCAGGATGGTACTCTGGACAACACGACTAGTTTATCCT